TCATCAGGGAAAACAGCCCAGGTGATAGGGACAACCCTGTCTGGTGCCATGGCCATCCAGAAAGGACATGGATAACCTACCTCCCATTTTTATAGCGGCCACCGAATGGTCATACAATAAGCCCTATCCCTTTGAGAAATTCTTCACCGAAACCATTATGGGTCATGACTGCCCATATTCAGAACTGAATTTTAAACAAAATCATGCAAAATTGATATATGTGTGTGTTCAGCAGACATTCTGTTATACATCAGATAGCTTCAACCACACTTAGAACAGACACAGCCATGCTTGTCCATGGACAACTATCTTGCCTTTTCTGATGGGCTTAATTTCTTAAAATAGGGTTAACTATGAGTAGAATGGTCATCAGGATCTTGGGATAAACACAAGCAATTAAAAAAAAACAATGTTCCAATGTTCCACTGAAATCCATGGAGTGGGCAGCAAATCACTGTGATCCATTGTGGAACTCATAGTAATTAACTAAGCTAAAAAAACACTACAATATTCATTGTACTAACCTTGAGTACAAAAAATTGGGAAGAGGAAAAAGGTACTCTGAAGTTTTCCTCAAAAGCATCTGTGATCACTGTGTGCTGAGCTCCTGGTAGGTAGGACATGGGGATTAAAAAATAAAATAATAAAAAGTAACCTAGTTGCACAATATAGCATTTTCTAGATGTCAGTGAACAGTTCAGATGTAATTAGTGACCTGCACTGCAAACATTCAGGGAGACTCGTCCATGCTAATGCACACCAGACCTATATGTAATCTTTGTATTGCTGTCAGAGCTGAGAGACCTTGATAACATTAGCTGCCAGCATGCCTTTGACCAAAGTTTGACTCTTTATGCTTTGTGAATGATATTAATGTCTGTAGTATCCATGGTACTGTTTTGAAATAATTTAATTCAACTACCGCATGTGAGTAAGCAATGAAAACACATATGCAATGTGGCTTGTGATTGGATAGTTTCTGATTAAGAAAATATGGTTTGGCCTAAAGAGACAAAGTGGATGTTTAAATGTATTAGTTGTTGGAGAGAATGCCATCTTTGGAAGTGCAGTTTTTATTCACTCCATTCTCAGTGAAAAATCAGTCTTCCATTATAAAAGGGACAGCCCATCCAAAACTGATATTTCAGTGTAGATTTTCAAGAATTAAAGAAGATGTAAATGTGACATTTCATATCCCTGATATGTGCTTGCTGTACCATGTTTGTTTGTATGAAAAAGCATCCTGTTCTCTTTGTATTGCTTCCTTTGTGTGAAATCCCTGGTGTTCCTGCCAGTCCCTCTACTTTCCTATTAACAACTGACCACACTAGGCAGAAGAACACACACACCGTGGTCCGTTCTCTAGCTGTGCCAGGATCTCAGTCTGCTATGCTCCAGTGATCAGACTTGTGCTGACACGTCCCCCCTGCACAGACTTTCACAGGGAAGATCAGTGTGATGCTGTTTCTCCTTCCGAAGCTCTGAGAGCAGAGGGTATGTGATCACTTATAGAAAAGGGGAAAAAGTATTTATAATGTTTTTTATATCTATGCACAAATGTTTTACCTTTCATTTCTATTTTAAACTGTATGGGTTGTTTTACAAGGTTAGAGTTTACATATACTTTAAATCTGCTCCCATCCCCTTCTAACTCCTGTTCTAACTACCCTATAGAAAGAAGTTGTGCATACCAGGGGCGGACTGACCATTTGGAAACTTGGGCACTGCCCGAGGGCCTGGGGTCAGTAGGGGGCCCCATGAGATGCCCCTGGTACCTTTTTCTTAGGCTTATTTGAGTTTGGGCAAGGACACAGGGGCCCCATGATCCCCTATTGCACAGGGGCCCCATGAGTTGTCATTCCGCCCCTGGTGCATACCTATCTATTCTCAGGGCACTCCTGTCTAGTCACATGCTCGGCTCTTCTCTCTCAGCTAGTGGCAGCTTTAGGGGAGAGGAAGGACACCTGACAATGGATGCCTATGGCTGACATCACTGCCCAGGCATTTCAGCTGTTGTCGGCACTCTGTCCTCTCCTCAGGAGCCAGTCGCTGGGGAAATTGCATGACTTGACCAGTTAGAATAGGTGTTAATCTGGGTACACATGGTCCAAATATCGGCCAGTTCAGCAGGAACAGGCTGAGACTGAGACCATGTGTACAGCTGTCTTTCCAACAGTAGCCGGTCTAAGGACCAACTTTTGTCGAAGGGACATGCTAAAAAAACAGCATTCGATCAGCGATCGGTGTGTTCAGGGGCGGGGGGGAGTCCACAGTCCCCCTATGAGAACACAAAGACACAGCAAGAAAGATTGCTGTACTAATACCGCTTAGCCCGCTGGGTTAAACCAAAAAAAAAGAAAAAAAAGGGGACCAGGCACTAGATGGGGGTGGGCGCAGTTTTTAACAGAAGATAGTTAGAGCCTGGAATTCCACTTTAAATGTGGAGAAGTAGGCAGCTAAAAAAAACAAACTCAAGGCAGATATTGAAAAAAAAAATCTTTATTGCAGCTAATGTAAGTACTCTAAATGTCTTTTTTAAGCTTTCTGTATTTCCCTCCTCAGCAGAATTTAGGAGCTTGTTGAGAGGAGGGGAGAGCAGAATGAGCAAAACAATACCCTTGTCATTGTGGGCATGCTCCTTCATTATCCAAGCTGTGTTGCTTAAAGCAGAACTACACTGCATCTTAGCACCAAAAACCAAAAAGACAATTTAATTCATTTTTAATGTTCAACGCAAATGCATCCATCCAGGCAGATGATTCATGTAGCATTTACTTCTTGGAATCCATCTGTCCTTAGCTCAGGCATACAGTTGTGTTCAAAATAATAGCAGTCACACATCACTAACCTGATCAATCACTGTTTTTGGTAGAAATTATATTTCTACATGGCAAATAATTTACTAGCAGGTGTAGTAGAGTAATAGAGATCCAACAGACCCAACAGTCATGACATGCATGCTGCTGATTCTGTGTAATTGAATCACTAATTGAAAGGGGCATGTTCAAAATAATAGCCGTGTGGAGTTCTATTAGTGAGGTCATTCATTCTTTGAAAAACAGGTGGCAATTACTGCCCTTATTTAAGGAAGGAAGGCAGCAAATGTTGTACATGCTGGTTACAGTGCATTTCTCTCTGAAATTCTGAGGAAAATGGGTCGTCATTCCAGACATTGTTCAGAAGAACAGCGTACCTTGATTAAAAGTTGATTGGAGAGGGGAAAACATATAAAGAAGTGCAGAAAATGATAGGCTGCTCAGCTAAAATGATCGCAAATGCTTTAAAATGGCAACCAAAACCTGAAAGACGTGGAAGAAAATGAAAAACTACCATTCGAATGGATAGAAGAATAGCCAAAATGGCAAGGACTCAGCCAACAATCAGCTCCAGGAAGATGAAAGAAGGTGTAAAGTTACCTGTGAGTACTGTTACAATTAGAAGACGCCTATGTGAAGCCAAGCTATCTGCAAGAAGCCCCCGCAAAGTCCCACTGTTGAAAAAAAGACGTGCTGAAGAGGTTACAATTTGCCAAAGCGCACATTGACTGGCCTAAAGAGAAATGGCGCAACATTTTGTGGACTGATGAAAGTAAGATTGTTCTTTTTGGGTCTAGCGGGCGGAGACAGTTTGTCAGACGACCCCCAAACACTGAATTCAAGCCACAGTACACTGTGAAGACAGTGAAGCATGGTGGTGCAAGCATCATGATATGGGGATGTTTGTCATACTACGGTGTTGGGCCTATTTATCGCATACCAGGGATCATGGATCAGTTTGAATACATCAGAATACTTGAAGAGGTCATGCTGCCTTATGCTGAAGAGGAAATGCCCTTGAAATGGGTGTTCCAACAAGACAACGGCCCCAAACACACCAGTAAACATGCAACATCTTGGTTCCAGACCAACAAGGTTGACGTTATGGAGTGGCCAGCCCAATCCCCGGATCTTAATCCAATAGAAAACTTGTGGGGTGACATCAAAAATGCAGTTTCTGAGGCAAAACAAGAAATAGAGAACTGTGGAATGTAGTCCAATCATCCTGGGCTGGAATACCTGTTCACAGGTGCCAGAAGTTGGTTGACTCCATGCAACACAGATGTACAGCAGTTCTCAGAAACAGTGATTTATACAACTAAATATTAATTAAGTGATTCAAAGGAAAGCAAAATCTTCAAACATTTTTCAGTTTATATAGTGAATGTTTGAGTTTGTAAAGAAGAATACAAACACTGCTATTTTTTGAACAGTCTAATATTTACTTTTCTTCAATTTTTTTAGAGGAACAACACAAATTTTATATATTTTTCTTCATGTTTTGATTTGGAATACAATGTGTAGTGTTCCCAATGCATTTGTGTGTATGGAAGTAAAAGCTATTAGAAGGATTTTGAGCTTTATTCACTTTTTTCAACACACTGCTATTATTTTGAACACAATCGTACATGCAGAAGTTTGTGCTTAGCTGAGAAATCCCCCCTCACACACACAAACACCTGTATACTGAGATTTATGACGTACCGTATTTTCCGGCGTATAAGACGACTTTTCAACCCCTGAAAATCTTCTGAAAAGTCGGGGGTCGTCTTATACGCCGGTGCGAGCCAGTGTCAGGGCGGCACTTTTTCGAGGGGCGGCGCGGCGCCGCCCCCCCTCCTCCTCCAATGGACACTAAGTACAGGGGTGGGCAGAGGGGCTGCTGTACCTTACCTGGCTCCGGTCCCACGACGATCCGGTCCAGGAAGCGCGGCTGCTCCTTCTTTCAGTTCGGCCCAGCTCGATGGTCACGCGGCCGCTCGGCTCCGCCTCCTCACCGGTGATTGGGCGCCAGCACTGGAAAGGCACACAGGCGACCAATCACCGGCGAGGAGGCGGAGCCGAGCGGCCGGCCCCGCGAAAATCGAGCGGCCGAACTGAAAGAAGGAGCAGCTGCTCCTCTCCCCCACTGACACTAACGATGGGGCACTATTCCTCCTCCACCCTGACACCAACGATGAGGCACTGTTCCTCCCCCACTGACACCAACGATGAGGCACTGTTCTCCCCACTGATACCAATGATGGGGCACTATTTTCCCCAACTGATACCAATGATGGGGCACTATTCCTCCTCCCCACTGACACCAATGATGGGGCACTATTCTCCCCACTGATACCAATGATGGGGCACTATTCCTGCCACTGACACCAATGATGGGGCGCAATTCCTCCCACTGACACCAATGATGGGGCGCAATTCCTGCCACTGATACCAATGATGGGGCGCTATTCCTCCCACTGACACTAATGATGGGGCGCAATTCCTGCCACTGATACCAATGATGGGGCGCTATTCCTCCCACTGACACCAATGATGGGGTGCTATTCCTCCCACTGACACCAATGATGGGGTGCTATTCCTCCCACTGATACCAATGATGGGGTGCTATTCCTCCCACTGATACCAATGATGGGCCGCTATTCCTCCCACTGACACCAATGATGGAGCACTATTCCTCCCACTGACACCAATGATGGGACACTATTCCTCCCACTGACACCAATGATGGAGCACTATTCCTCCCACTGACACCAATGATGGGACACTATTCCTCCCACTGACACTAATGATGGGACACTATTCCTCCCACCGACACCAATGATGGGGCACGATTCTTCCCACTGACACCAATGATGGGGCACTATTCCTCCCACTGACTAATGATGGGGCACTACTCCTCCCACTGACTAATGATGGGGCACTATTCCTCACACACTGACACTAATGATGGGGCACCATCATTTGGTGTCAGTGGGAGGAATAGTGTCCCATCATTGGTATCAGTGGGAGGAATAGTGCCCCATCATTGGTGTCAGTGGATGAAATAGTGCTCCATCATTGGTGTCAGTGGGAGGAGTAGTGCCTCATCATTGGTGTCAGTGGGAGGAATAGCACCCCATCATTGGAATACCATACTGAAATAGCATACCATATTGAAATCAAATCTGATGTTTTTTCTTTTTTTTTTTGGTGTGCGTTGGAAGAGGGGTAGTCTTATACGGCGAGTATAGCTCAAACCCTATATTTTAACAGGAAAAGTAGGGGGTCGTCTTATACGCCCAGTCGTCTTATACGCCAGAAAATACGGTAATTTGCCTAAGCATGGAATCAGGAAGAAATGTAAAAAAAAAGTTTTAAAAGTCAGGATTTTGCTGTGCTGTCTTGGAGGGGTGCCTGGATCACAACATTACCTGAAGCTAAGAACAAATCCTCTTTTAGATAAGACAAAGTGCATATATGAAGCTCAGTTGTACATTTGCCTGCTTGCCTGATGTTCAGCTTTGAGACTGTAGTATGTAGAAAATGGATGCTTTATATACTAGCTTTTCTGTTTTGATATGAGTTGGAAAAATGCAAAACTACTGCCATGCATGCACACATACAAACAGTGTCTTGAAAAAGTATTCATACCCTTGACATTTTCCACATTTTGTCATGTTACAACCAAAAACGTAAATGTATTTTATTGGGTTTTTACGTGATAGACCAACACAAAGTGGCACATAATTGTGAAGTGGAAGGAAAATGATAAATGGTTTTCAGAATTGTTTACAAATAAATATGTGAAAAGTGTGGCGTGCATTTGTATTCTAATACAGTCAGTACTTCGTCAGTCAGTACTTTGTAGAACTACCTTTCTCTGCAATTACAGCTGCGAGTCTTTTGGGGATGTCTCTACCAGCTTTGCACCTCTAGAGAGTGACATTTTTGCCCATTCTTCTTTGCAAGTCAGAATGAATGGAGAATGTCTGTGAACAGCAATTTTCCAGTCTTGCCACAGATTCTCAATTGGATTTAGGTCTAGACTTTGACTGGTCCATTTTAACACATGAATATGGTTTGATCTAAACCATTCCATTGTAGCTCTGGCTGTATGTTTAGGGTCATTGTCCTGCTAGAAGGTAAGCTTTCGTCCCAGTCTCAAATCTTTTGCAGACTGTAACAGGTTTTCTTCTAAGATTGCCCTATATTTGGCTCCATCCATCTTCTCATCAACTCTGACCAGCTTTCCTGTCCATGCAGAAGAAAAAAAGCAACTCCACAACATAATGCTGCCACCACGTTTCACAGTGGGGATGGTGTGTTCAGGGTGATCAGGGGCGTATCTGCCGCAAGGCAAACAAGGCATCTGCCTTGGGCGACATTTTTCAGGGGGGCGGCATCGCTCCCAGGCAGAAAGGACCAGTGCCGTCGCTGCAAAGGGAAGTGCTTGGCTAGGGGGGTGTGCTCGTGTGTGCTAGAGCTGGGGGTGTTCGGGCGGGTTCCTGTGTGCTCGGCGGCGAGGATGGGTGAGGAGACAGAGAACCTGTCAGCCATGGGGCCGCCTGGAGAGGGGGACGGGTGACACATAGAGGACCGTGCATTTCTCAGTTGCTCTATGTGCCGCCCGATCACCTCTCCTATCCATCTACTGCATGAGGTCAGCTCCTGTATGCTCCCCCACGGCCCCCCCTCCAGCACTGCAGGGGATCTGTCAACATATGCAGTCACCAGTGCTTACAGTACCCCCCCCCCCTCACACAGACAGGAGAGCAGAGAGAAAGCTGCCCCTCCTCCTCCCACCCTCTCCTCCTCCTGTGTCTGCCCTGCCCACACTTCCAGCCAGCCTTGTGTCTTCTTTCCCCCCTTCTCTCTTCTCTCTCTCTCTCTCTCCTCCCCTCCGTCCGTCTCTCTCCCTCTCTCTCTCCTTCTCCCCCCCCTCTCTCTCCCTTCTCCCCTCCCTCCCTCTCTCTCTCTTCTCTCTCCTCCTCTCTCTCTGCCCCCCCTCTCTCCCTTCCTCCCTCCCTTTCTCTCTCCCCCTTCCTCTCTCCCTCTCCCTCCCTCTTTCTCCCCCCTGTCTCCCCCCCCCCCCCCTCTCTCTCTACCCCTCTCTCTCTCCCTCTCCCCCCCCCCCCTCTCCCTCTCTCTTCTCTACCCCCTCACTCTCTCACCCCTCTCTCTCTCCTCTCTTTCTCTTCTCTCTCTCCCCTCTTTCTCCCTCTCTCTTCTCTCTCTCCCTCTCTCTTCTTTTCTCTCTCTCCCCTCTCTCTGCCACTCTCTTCCCCCCTCCCCTCCCCTCCCTCTCTCCCCCTCCTCTCTCCCCTCCTCCTTCTCCCCCTCCTCTCTCCCTCTCCCCCCTCTCCCCTCTCTCTCCCCTCTCTGTCCCCCCCCCCTCTCTTCTCCCCCTCCTCTCTCTACTCTCTCCCTCTCCCCTCTCTCTCCCCTCTCTCTGCCCCCCCCTCCCTCTCTCTCCCTCTCCCCCCCCCCTCTCTCTCCTCTGTCTCCTCCCTCTCTCCACTCCTCTTTCCCCCCTCTCTCTCCCCCTCCCCCCTCCCCCCTCTCTCTCTTCTCTCTCCTCTCTTCTCTCCCCCCCCCCTCTCTCTCTCTTCCTTCCCTCCTACAAAAAAATGTAAAAAAAAAATGTAAATAAAACGAAAAACCTACTGGCACTAGTGGCAAAACTAACAGGGTCGCAAAGGCCACTCCTGCAACCAGACCCTTGCGTTCCACCACCAGGCTCTGAGGAAAGGGTCCCTGGGCTTTGGGCTGCTCAGTCCAAAGTGCCCGGGCTTATTTTTTGTCCTAGTCCAGGCCTGGCTATGACCAATAAAGGGCACAATGTCTATGAAGATATCGAGGTTCTACTCGTTTTACTAGGAGGTGCAGTATATGAGGTGCTGGATGTGTGATATTGGTGAAAGCTTGATGTAGACTAGACTCTTTGAGTGGCTTCAGGGTCTAACAGGTTGTGCAGCACCCGTCTAATGTGTGTAGGCAAACCAGATATCTATAGTGCTTGGTATAGACCAGGCCTATACAGCTGGTTCAGTCTCTGACCATCTCCTGTATCCTGTCCGCAGTCTGACTGTCTCCTCTATCCTGTCCGCAGTCTCCGGTCATCTCCTGTACTATGTCCGCAGTCTCTGACTGTCTCCTGTACTATGTTTGCAGTCTCTGATCTCTCCTATATCCTATATACAATCTCTGACCATCTCCTGTAGTATATCAGCAGACTCTGATCATCTCCTGTATCATGTCTGCAGTCTCTGACCATCCCCTGTATCATGTCTGCAGTCTCTGACCATCCCCTGTATCCTGTCCACAGTCTCTGACCATCCCCTGTATCCTGTCCACAGTCTCTGACCATCCCCTGTATCCTGTCCACTGTCTCTGACCATCTCCTTTAGTATGTCAGCAGACCCTGATCATCTCCTGTATCCTGTCCTCAGTCTCCGACCTTGTCCTGTATCCTGTCCACCATCTCTGACTAACTCCTGTAGCCTGCCCTCAGTCTACCTTCTCCTCCTATCCTGCCCTCAGTCTCTGACCTTCTCCTGTATCCTGCCCTCAGTCTCTGACCTTCTCCTGTATCCTGCCCTCAGTCTCTGACCTTCTCCTGTATCCTGTCCTCAGTCTCCAACCTTCTCCTGTATCCTGTCCACCATCTCTGACCTTCTCCTGTATCCTGTCCTCAGTCTCCGACCTTCTCCTGTATCCTGTCTGCCATCTCTGACTTCTCATGTATCCTGTCCTTAGTCTCTGACCTTCTCCTGTATCCTGTCCGCCATCTCTGACCATCTCCTGTATCCTGCCCTCAGTCTCCGACCTTCTTCTGTATCCTGTCCGCCATCTCTGACCTTCTCCTGTATCCTGTCCTCAGTCTCTGACCATCCCCTGTATCCTGTCCACAGTCTCTGACCATCCCTGTATCCTGTCCACTGTCTCTGACCATCTCCTTTAGTATGTCAGCAGACCCTGATCATCTCCTGTATCCTGTCCTCAGTCTCCGACCTTGTCCTGTATCCTGTCCACCATCTCTGACTAACTCCTGTATCCTGCCCTCAGTCTCTGACCTTCTCCTGTATCCTGCCCTCAGTCTCTGACCTTCTCCTGTATCCTGCCCTCAGTCTCTGACCTTCTCCTGTATCCTGTCCTCAGTCTCCAACCTTCTCCTGTATCCTGTCCACCATCTCTGACCTTCTCCTGTATCCTGTCCTCAGTCTCCGACCTTCTCCTGTATCCTGTCTGCCATCTCTGACTTCTCATGTATCCTGTCCTTAGTCTCTGACCTTCTCCTGTATCCTGTCCGCCATCTCTGACCATCTCCTGTATCCTGCCCTCAGTCTCCGACCTTCTTCTGTATCCTGTCCGCCATCTCTGACCTTCTCCTGTATCCTGTCCTCAGTCTCTGACCATCTCCTGTATTCTGTCCTCCGTCTCTGACCATCTCCTGTATCCTGTCCACAGTCTCTGACCATCTCCTATAGTATGTCAGAAGACTCTGATCATCTCCTGTATCCTGTCCTCAGTCTCTGACCATCTCCTGTATGCTGTCCACAATGTCTGACCGTCTTCTGTATCCTGTCCGCAGTCTCTGACCGTCTCATGTATCCTGTCCACAATCTCTGACTGTCTCCTGTATCCTGTCCAGTCTCTGACCGTCTCCTGTATCTTGTCTGCAGTCTCTGACAAACTCCTGGAGGTGGAGCTCTAATAGGAAAAGGAGGAGCCTAAAGCAGAAGGGGTGGAGTTTACAGATGAAGAGGTGGATCCTAAACAGGTAGGGGTGGGACAAATTTAGATAGGGGGTGTGATTTTAGTCTTGCCTAGGGCAGCACAAATCCAAAATACACCACTGAGGGTGATGTGCAGTGTTAGTTTTCTGCCACAGGCCAAAAAGTAACATTTTGGTCTCATCTGACCACAGCACCTTCTTCCACGTTTGCTGTGTCTCCCACATGGCTTCTCGCAAACTGCAAGTGGGACTTCTTATGGTTTTCTTTCAACAATGGCTTTCTTCTTCCCACTCCTCCATAAAGGCCAGATTTGTGGAGTGCACGACTAATAGTTCTCGTGTTGACAGATTCTCCCACCTGAGCTCTGGATCTCTGCAGCTCCCCCAGAGTTATCATGGGCCTTTTGGCTGCTTCTCTGATTAATGCTCTCCTTGCCCGGCCTGTCAATTTAGGTGGATGGCCATGTCTTGGTAGGTTTGCAGTTGTGCCATACTCTTTCCATTTTCGGATGATGAATTGAACAGTTCTCTGCGAGATGTTCAAAGCGTGCCATATTTTTTTATAAACTAATCCTGCTTTAAACTTCTCCACAACTTTATCCCTGACCTGTCTGATGTGTTCCTTGGCCTTCATGATGCTGTCTGTTCAATAATGTTCTCTAACAAACCTCTGAGGGCTTCACAGAACAGCTGTATTTATACTGATATTAAATTACACACAGGTGGACTCTATTTAGTAATTAGTTGACTTCTGAAGACAATTGGTTCCACTAGATTTTAGCTAAGGGTATCAGAGTAAAGGGAAGTGAATACAAATGCACGCCACACTTTTCAGATATTTATTTGTAAAGAATTTTGAAAACCATTTATCTTTTTCCTTCCACTTCACAATTATGTGCCACTTTGTGTTGGTCTATCACATAAAATCCCAATAAAATATAGTTATGTTTTTGGTTGTAACATGACAAAATATGGAAAATTTCAAGGGGCATGAATACTTTTTCAAGGCACTGTATATGCCTACATATAGTACATACATACATCCAAAGTTGAAGGTGACAATAATTTCCCTTATCTCATGAGCATCATTAAGCAGTGTAGATGTTAAGCTTATTTCAGAAGAGTTTTATGCACATCTCCAGTTAGGAAGCACAAGAGTTTAAAGTGTTACTAAACCTAGGACCCTGTACTCAATATATCTGGTCTCCCCCAGTATACAGAACATGGAAATGCAATTATTTTAGTGAATACAAATGGCTAAATACCAGCTGAGCAAGCTTGTAGGAGGAGTTTTCTCTAGGAGGATGCAAAACCCCTGACCTCTGTTTGGGCAGTGGTGATTGGCCCTATAAACTAACTGAGCACATGCAGAAGGACTACAGATTCAGTCTGTCTTATCAGGAGATAAGATGTGGACATTTGAACAAGAGGAGGGGCAGAAAAGAAAGGATCAAACAGCCTTTTTACACAATGCAGAGGATTAACCCCTTAGGTTCCACAGTGAGTATAACAAGCATGCTTTACTGCATATACAGGCTGATTTTACTGTCGTGGGTTTAGGAACACTTTAAAGTCCCCTAAAGCAGAAGTGTGGAGACAGAGAGGGATAAGCTTATGATAAATGAAATAACTCCTACATTTTCCACTGTGTTTTGAAAAGAACACAGAACCATTCCTATCTGTCCTTTCCCCAATGGAAGTTACAATCTAATGTTCCCAAAGGTTAGTGTACATGGGTATCTTACATGGGTGTTTTACATTTGATATGTGATTATGAACCAGTTTTGAAAATAGTTTTTGGATTTTGATTTTCTCTGAAAGCATTTGACTTGCTGCTTCTTCATTTGACTAACCCTAAAGCTGGCTATTCATTTGACAGGTGAATGTACATGTACAATCCAGTCATTGGGAAAGGTTTTTAGCCAGATACAGACATAAACAAGAATATTCAGGTAGTTCATGCATATGGCATATTAATGTCTAGGGAAGAGGCAAACACTAATATTTCTGTTTTCTTTGGAGAACTGCAGTGAGCAGACATGGTTTTAAAGAAAGGCGGTGGCTAAGGAGCCAGTATGTTAAATATACTATGTGAGGCAACTGTTGCATCCAGAGTAAGCCTAAGAAGTCCCGTAGCCTTCCTAGCGGTGTGATTATGTCAGTATTTCTGTGCTCAAAGCGGTACATTTTTTTGCATGGAAATATGTAGTTTTTTTTATTGTAGGCCTGTAATTTTTAGGAATAACTCACTGAAATCTGTGCGAACAAGAGTCTAGTAAACATTCCGGGTATGTTAAAATTTGAAACACGAAATCATAAATTATAATATAACAAATAATCATAAAAAATAATAATATAATAATAATAAATGTTATTCAATAATATAATCAAACCAAAAGCACTGAAATTTGAACTATAGCGCCAAGTTCACACATCACTGAGCAAAGTCACAAAATTGTTTTCAGTGTCTGATGTCGAATTTCCCCACGAATCATTATCACTCAATTCTGCAAGTAGTTCTAATTTACTATCGCTGTTCTCTAGCCAGTCTAAAACCACTTTTGACCTAAAGGGACGCTTTTTGGACGCCATGGACTTCTCAGTTTCCAGGCAGAAAGAACAATAAAAATGCAGGCAGGGCACAGGACAAAGCACTCGGGACAAAATGTATGTGAAATGGTTTGATACAGTAATGTTTTACTATGTGATTTTAATGTATTTTGTGAATGTCACTTTTTGACATTTTGAAATTTCCCACCAGTTCAGTCCCCATACGTCCAGACGTAGCAGGGAACAGAACAACGGAAGACAGATGCCGGCATCGGCCGGAGGACATTGCCGGGGATGCTGCAGGGGGGACATCGCGGGAGCGAAGGACAAGGTAAGTGAAGAAGAGATCCTGGAGCAACGCTGTAGGGTATTCCCGAGTGTAGCTTGGGGTTACCGTTTGTGGTGCTGAAACTTTACTTTGAGCTACACTCGGGAATACCGCCAGGAAGGTTAAGAAGCCTAAACATAGGGAGAACATACAATGCAAACTACATGTCCGGGTTCTTGGTAGGAAATTAATCTAGGGGACCAATTCTACAACACTAACCAATAATTCACTCACTCCTCTCTGGAAAACAGTTGAAACACTACATCAGCCTTTCTTAACTGGGGTTCCTGGAGCCTTAAGGTTCCTTTGGAGTTGCTAGGGTTTCTATGACCAGGGCTTTTTTTCACTGAGAATGCAGGGGACGCAGTTCCGGCACCTACAGCACTGAATATATGTAACAGCAAGGAGTGCTGGGGTGCGCTGGAGGGTCTATTGATCCAAGCTTCTGGGGATCTATTGCAGCTGGAGGAGATCTATTTTTGCAAGGGGGTCTGTTGTTGCTAGTGGGGGATATATTGTTGCTGGGGTGTGTCTTATGTTGCTGGGGGGCAATTGTTACTGGGCAAGATCTACTGTTGAGGATGGGGTCTACGGTTTCTGGCTACTGGATAGTCTACTGATGCTGGCTATGGGGAGATCTGTTGTTGCCTCTAGGATTTAATTTGTTGCAGGTGAACCATTGTTGGGGGGATCTATTGTCACTGGGGTAGGGGGTCTATTGTTATTGGCTGCAGGAGATCTATTTTACGGCTTTTCTTGTCGCCATTACCAAATTCCATACAAATTACTTAGCACCACAAAATGATACGTTCTGTATTCTCTAAAAGGGTGGTACTGGGAGGTGGGTAGGGGGTGGAGACAAGGGGTGACTTGGAAAAGGCGAGTTCCAGCACCTATTCTCTGTGAAAAAAAGCCTTGTCTAAGAGCAATTAACAATTTCTGCTTATCAGATAAGTAACCATTGAAACCAGTGATGTTTTTAACTATCAGTAAGGAGGCGTTTTTCCCACTGGTCAATGGTGTAAGGAGCATTCTTCCAACTGACAATTGCACTAATGTACAGTAAGACATGGTAATTACTATCAGGAGTTCCTGGAGACCAGAAAATTATTTCAAGGGTTCTTCTGTGTTGCAGAGTTTGAGAAAGACTGTCCTAGATAATGCATACCAGTCCTGACCCTGACAGTCTGACCCAGTGGCACGTATACAGTATGTATAACTGTTTTGAACATCAAAATGACTGAAGGATCAGCTTGTGGCTGCCTGACCTAGCATATAATACAGTTTGATTTTTTTGAAAAGTAAAGATGAATATAATTAGCTAACCACTACTAGTTCCTATGACATAAAATTATAGAAATGTTCCCACAATGTAGGTAGCTCGATGTCTGACATCATGTGTGACCTTGTTATGTGTTTTATCTCTTAATAAAAGTGTATAATCCAAACGCGCACGTTCCTGCGTTAAAAATGGCTGTGTGTATAAGTGGGTGCTGCAGCAACTGTCTGCTGGAACCGAACAGAATCAGCAAGGGAGAATGTCACCAGCACACCGAGGATCACCAATATGGGTCCAAAAGTTTTAATGAACGATCACATAGTTACAGCAAGGCAACTTTTTGGAGTCTCACAGGACCCCTTCATCAGGCATGTCACATGACTGATGAAGGGGTCCTGCGAGACTCTGAAACGTTGCCTTGCTGTAATTATGTGACCGTTCATTAAAACTTTTGGACCCATATTGGTGATCCTCGGTGTGCTGGTGACATTCTCCCTTGTTATTTCTTAATAATTCCCAGTATTAATAAGGCAATTCAGATGTGACTAATGCTTATCATGTTCATTCAATAAAGCTGTGGAAAGTGCTGCCAGCATTCCACCAGAGTTCAGTTTACTGGTCTAGGGCTAGCATTATACATGTTTTTTGTTTTGCTTTATATACAGTCAGGTCCATAAATATTGGGACATCAACACAATTCTAACATTTTTGGCTCTATACACCACCACAATGGATTTGAAATGAAATGAACAAGATGTGCTTTAACTGCAGACTGTCAGCTTTAATTTGAGGGTATTTACATCCAAATCAGGTGAACGGTGTAGGAATTACAACAGTTTGCATATGTGCCTCCCACTTCTTAAGGGACCAAAAGTAATGGGACAGAATAATAATCATAAATCAAACTTTCACTTTTTAATACTTGGTTGCAATCCTTTGCAGTCAATTACAGCCTGAAGTCTGGAACGCATAGACATCACCAGACGCTGGGTTTTATCCCTGGTGATGCTCTCCCAGGCCTCTACTGCAACTGTCTTCAGTTCCTGCTTGTTCTTGGGGCATTTTCCCTTCAGTTTTGTCTTCAGCAAGTGAAATGCTCAATCGGATTCAGGTCAGGTGATTGACTTGGCCATTGCAGAACATTCCACTTCTTTCCCTTAAAAAACTCTTTGGTTGCTTTTGCAGTCTGCTTTGGGTCATTGTCCATCTGCACTGTGAAGCGTCCAATGAGTTGTGACGCATTTGGCTGAATATGAGCAGATAATATTCCCGAAACACTTCAGAATCCATCCGGCTGCCTTTGTCAGCAGTCACATCATCAATAAATACAAGAGAACCAGTTCCATTGGCAGCCATACATGCCCACGCCATGACACTACCACCACCATGCTTCAATGATGAGGTGGTATGCTTAGGATCATGAGCAGTTCCTTTCCTTCTCCATACTCTTCTCTTCCCATCACTCTGGTACAAGTTGATCTTGGTCTCATCTGTCCATAGGATGTTGTTCCAGAACTGTGAAGGCTTTTTTAGATGTCGTTTGGCAAACTCTAATCTGGCCTTCCTGTTTTTGAGGCTCATCAATGGTTTACATCTTGTGGTGAACCCTCTGTATTCTCTTGATTGTTGACTTTGACACACATACACCTACCTCCTGGAGAGTGTTCTTGATCTGGCCAACTGTTGTGAAGGGTGTTTTCTTCACCAGTGAAAGAATTCTTCGGTCATCCACCACAGTTGTTTTCCGTGTCTTTTGGTGTTGCTGAGCTCACCGGTGCGTTCCTTCTTTTTAAGAATGTTCCAAACAGTTGTTTTGGCCACGCCTAATGTTTTTGCTATCTCTCTGATGGGTTTGTTTTGTTTTTTCAGCCTAATGATGGCTTGCTTCACTGATAGTGACAGCTCTTTGGATCTCATCTTGAGAGTTGACAGCAACAGATTCCAAATGCAAATAGCACACTTGAAATGAACTCTGGACCTTTTATCTGCTCATTGTAATTGGGATAATGAGGGAATAACAAACACCTGGCCATGGAACAGCTGAGAAGCCAATTGTCCCATTACTTTTGGTCCCTTAACAAGTGGGAGGCACATATGCAAACTGTTGTAATTCCTACACCGTTCACCTGATTTAAATGTAAATACCCTCAAATTAAAGCTGACAGTCTGCAGTTAAAGCACATCTTTGTTTGTTTCATTTCAAATCCATTGTGGTGGTGTATAGAGCCACAAATGTTAGAATTGTGTCCATGTCCCAATATTTATGGACCTGACTGTATTACTAAACTACAGTTATTTACTGACAAAACACAGCACACCATTGCCAAAAGATCTAACTTATGGAATAGATGTTAAAATATGTATTGCTGGAGAAATACACATGCATTGATAAAGTTTGCTGAACTTTAAGAGAACTATATTTTCCTGGTACCTTGTGTTTTTTCAGGAACAGTCAGAGTTTGGAAGCATTATCCCTGGGAGTCTGTAGTCTTTTAGGCTAGATTCAGACATATGCGGTGCCAATTTGTTCAGTTTTCAAGTGCGATTCAGTGAGCAGCAGCGTTGTAATTCACCTACAGTTCTGCTTGAATACCAATGCGTTTTGCATGCGATTTTGGTCCAGCTGCGATTTTGGATCTCTTGTTCCTCAGGAACCTTTCACAAGGGGTGGACCCGTCAATGGATCTGCTTGCTCAGCAGGGGATCTCTCTGCTGATGCCCGCTGAACAAGTGGATGACAGGTTCCTGTCCACTACGCTGCTGCAGAGTGGACACAGACACAGCCTGCTGTCCTCTAAGGGTGGTCGGATGGAAACAGACTACCTGTCCATTTCCATCCAATTGCCATCCCATCCAATCTGAAGGATGGAAGGGGAGTGGATACCCATCCATCTCTTTTTGGTGGATCGGATTGGATGTCGGTGGGTGTAAACAAGCACGTCAGTTTACAACCGCCGCACCATAGAGAAGAATAGAGGTTCAGATTGGGTCCACCTGAAAAACGGGCAGGAGGACGCTATCAAAATGTCCATGTGAAAGAGCCTTAGCAGGATATACTAAACTTGTTTCCTGCAAAGCTGCTCAGTCAGAGGAATTCTCATTCTGTCTGAACACATAATCATTTCCAATGCGGTTTCAGTTCAACTCTATAGAGCCCAAAAACAGATCGCCCCACTCCAAACACACACACAGGACCTCTTTTCAAATCACACTCTGGCTGAACTGCATATATAGGAAAGCATTTTATTTTTCATGTCAAGCGAATCACTGCAGTTCAAAATGAATCCACAAATGGATCAGTGTGAACCTGGGCTTACTTGGTGTGCTAATTTTTTTATTGCCTTCTCTGGTACATGGGGTGGATAGTTTTTAATACATCTCTGGTACTTCCGGTGAAATGATTGTTAATGCCATCTCTGGAACTTGGCATGGATGGTTTTTAATACCATCTCTTGTACTTGGTGCGGATGGTTTGTACTGACATCTCTGGTACTTGGCGTGGATGGTTTGTAATGCCATCTCTGGTACTTGGTGCGGATGGTTTGTAATGCCATCTCTGGTACTTGGTGCGGATGGTTTGTAATGCCATCTCTGGTACTTGGTGCGGATGGTTTGTAATGCCATCTCTAGTACTTGGTGTGGGGTTTGTAATGCCATCTCTGGTACTTGGTGTGGATGGTTTGTAATGCCATCTCTGGTACTTGG